TGGGGGCTAGAGGGCAGGGGGAGTTCAGGGTGGTGGTCGGGGGTGGGGGGTGTGGATAGGGGTTGGGGCGGTCAGAGGGCAGGGAACGGGGGGTTGAATGGGGGCAGGGGTCCCGGGGGCCGGTCAGGGGACAGGGAGAAGGGGTGGTTGGATGGGGCAGGGGTCCTGGGGGGGCAGTCAGGAATGAGAGGAGGAGTTGGATAGGGTGGTGGGAGGCAGTCAGGGGCGGGGGTTCTGGGGGCGGTGAGGGGACAGGGAGCGGAGGGGTGGATGGGGCTGGGGTCCCAGGGGGAGGGGCTGTCAAGGAACGGGGGGTTGGATGGGGCAGGAGTCCTGGGGCGGCTGTCAGGGGGCAAGAAGCGCGGGGGGTGGGGGGCTGGGCACAGCCTCCCCTAACCGGCCCTCCATACAATTTCTGAAACCCGATGTGGCCCTCAGGCCAAAAAGTTTGCCTACCCCTGATCTAAACACTTAAATTTTTAACATTGCTGTTAGCCACGAGATTTTTATCCACAGGTCAGAGAGAGAAAATATTGCTCCAGTGTTTTCAGTGTGCTGCATACAGTACATCACATCTCAGTACAAAATATAGATTGTGTAGCACATGATAAAATCATGAGTCAAGTGCAGTGTTCAACTTTTGTAATCTTTCTGTGGTTACTTGGGAACCAAACATCTGTTCTCTCTATGAATCATGGCATTTGCATTGACATGGACTGATGACTAACTGGCTGAGTTATTTGTTTATATCATTTCTGGGGCTCCATTTCTACCTTGTAAATGATATTTGGCCTTCCAAAGTGACCTCGGACTTAATGCCTATACAAATTCTACTCTCACGCCAGTGTATGGAACTTCTATGGAAATCAGTGGAAGATGCACAAATCTAACTGAGGGCAGAACTTGACCCATGATGATGATCTGCCCTCCTTATATTGAGTAGGAGTACCTGTACTACATGAGTAGGCCTATTGATTTCAATGGGCCTCTCAGTGTGTAAGGTACCACTCACTGTGAGCATGAGTGGCAGAATGAGGGCTATAATGAACAAAGAATTGACTTTTTAAAATGTTGGATAAATAAAAGGCATTTTTGGCTCAGTTCTTTCCTGTGCCTGAGCTGTGCCCAGCACAGAAGAGTTGGGGGCCTGAGGGAGCCAGTTGCAGCTCTCTGATTTGGCGCCGCCTGACCTGGCATTAGTTAGAGTGGTGGAAGGGACTTTACACCAGTGGAGCATAGGTATGGCTAGGGTGACCAGATGTCCCGATTTTATAGGGACAGTCCCGATTTTTGGGCCTTTTTCTTATATAGACTCCCATGCCCCCCCTCCCCCCCTCCCGATCTTGCCCTCTTGCTGT